TAAAACATTTTACTTGTATTAACAATATGAAAAACTGATCAAATTTTCATGAAGGCCGGTCTAGCGGTTTCGGAGATCTAGTAAAAAAAGTAAAAAAATGACATCTGGCGGTCAAAAATGATCATTAGACATATGCACATCAAATTATCAGATATTTTATAGAGATTTTAACAATAAGTATAAATTTTATTTACATTCCTATGAGTTCCGTACCAATGCTTATCCGTTAGACGATTTAAAGCAGTACGATTGCTGTTAAAAAAAGTTCAGAATTTCCAAAATATGTCAAAATAAAGAAAACTTTTTTTTTTCAAAAAAAAAATTTTTATTTTCAAAAAAAAAAATTTTTTTTCAAAGAAAAGTAATTTTTTGTCAAATTTATAGTTTCTCAAAAATCTAATTTTTTCGAAGTAAAATTTTTTCAAAAAAATTAATCGTTTTTAAAAAAACAATAATTTTTGGTACGGAAAGTTCCAGCAATTTGCCTTAAGGCACGATGCCATGCGCCCCACTAGTTAAAAATTATTATTAACAAGTGCCACTTTGAATAGTATCGAAACTCAAGCATATCGTGTTTCACTATTCACTACAAACGTCGTTTATAGACGACATCTACTTGGCGAAACCGGTGTGTACAAATGTAGCCTATAGAAGACGTCCAGTGTGGCGAATTTTGCTTCAATTCTCTGATAAATATCTTTATTGAATAAATTAATGGAAAATTTTTTTTGTTATTGTGATATTTAGTTTTTTTAATCAGTAAAATTGAGAATTTTAACCAGCCATCACCTTGATTCATGGCAAAGTTTGAAAATCCATAAAAAAAGGTTTTTTTTCGTTGTTATTTATTTTGGTTGTGAGCACTGATGCTTAATTTATGGACCTTAATATAATTTTTATGTTCACGTTATTTAATTGTTTTGTAGAATGTATTCTTGATTTTAAATTAGATTCAACAGTTTTTTATATAAACTCTATAAAAGCTAACACCTGGGTGGGGTAAAAAGGATCTACTGAACCTTTGCTCGGACAAAGATGTGAAAAATAAAAAATAGCAAATAACAAAGTGAATTATGTTAAAAATAACAATTTTACTAGAGATAAATCAAATAAATATTATTTCCAAATTTGCTGATGAATATTTCTGACGAAATACCAGATCAAGGTTATTTACTTAGTGTTGTCTCTGTAAAAATGCACTCACGGTTGAATAATGTAGCTATTATTTAAAAATTCTTTAAAAATCTCTTTGTAAAAAGTAAAATCTCTTTAAAATTAAAGTAAGACATTGTACCTGTTTGCCCCTTTGCGTGCCCAATTTACTCTGTCTTTAAATTTTTTTTAAGACAGCAAAAACAGATTTCTTAGAAAAAAAGTACAATAATGGTCAGACAGTTGTCTGTTTGATATGTGTTATTCGTTATGATATAATTGGTTTGGTTTTCGCAATTGAATTGCTCAAAGTCAAATTAGGCCTTTGCGCCTCGACTTACTCTTGATTTTTATTTTTAAATATCTTGTTATTGATAATAATTAGAAAATCTGAAAATATTTTGTGTAATAAATACTTGAACTGTTTATTAGTTAGAACACTTGTAGGAAACGTTTTCGCAGCGAAAGGGTTGATGCGCATCCAAGCTACGTACCAATATCAAAGTAGCCCTCGAAGTAAAACATCTTTTCACTGATAATTCGAATTTGGATATCAACATTAATTATTTTCATATTTATGCAGATAAAAGTAATATAAAAATGAATTTCTATTCAAAATAGTACGTACAATCGTACAACATGATCCTAAATATTAAATGGTAATTATTAATGTTAGAAGACTTGCCTTCTATTATATCATAGGTACAGTAATGAATGCGATACATTGATAAAGTCAATTGCCATTTGGTAGAATGCTTCTACTTCTGCATGTGTCTGTGAGGGATCAGTGAATTTTGAAAAGCAGGTATCAGTAAGGAATATATTAAAGTTTCTGCATCTCTGAGCATCATACGAAACCATCCCCTTAGCGTGTCTTTTATCAAAAGTTCGTTCGTTCGTTCATTACTCGCACCTTTATAACAAGGCGACTCTCGCTCCTAGGCAGTGTGTCAGTCTAATGAATTCAATATCACGCCTCACACAACGTTAGGGAAGCTAACATAAGAAGGGTTACTTGTCCTTTATCTCAAACTCCCGGACCACCTAAAGCCTCGCCACTCTATTTGCAGTTTTACACTGCGCAACTCATCTTGTCCACGCTCAACGCCGAAGATTTCAAAATATTTTAGGTAATTCTTGTTAACTTTCCATAGGGTAAGTTATATTAATCGCAAAAAAACGAAAATTAAAATGTTTATATATCTTTACGTTTTGAACTCTTCTGAACATATTGGTATACCTGGAAAAAATGGGTGTAAATGTGTGTGTTCGGATACAAATTTTCCTCGAGTTTTCGAGAATACAGTGCAGCCGATTTGAAAAATTCAAAAATATTCGGTTTGTATTGACCGGAATACTGATGAAGACTGTAGTGCTGATTAGTTTTTGGCAAAGGCAGGTTCAGCCGTTTAAAAGATACGAGGCAAAAAGTGCAAAAATGGGTTATTCAAATCAAAACACGTTTTACTTGTGCAGACAAAATAAAGAACTGTTTAAAATTTCCGGAAGGCAGGTCCAGCGGTTTTGGAGATCCAATAAAATAAAAGTAGAAAGAAATGCCATTTTGCGATCGAAAATGATTATTATAATAAGTACGAATTTTGTTTGCATTTCTATGGGATCTATACCCATGTTTATCCGATAGACGACTGTCCGCTTCGATATTTGGTCACTAAAACAGCTACGCTAGCGCATTGCTTTGAAACAAAGTTCAAAATCTTCAAAAAAAAATCTAAATATAAAAAAACAACTTTTTACTAAAAAAAATCAAAATTCTCAAAAAAAAAATTTCAGTTTTCAAAAAATTTTGAGTTTTTTTTTTAATTTCAATTTTCGGTACGGGAAGTTCCAACAATTTGCCTTGAGCCTTCAACTATTTGCTTTGTAAATAAAACAAAAAAAATTATACAGTAATATTTTTGTTAATAACACTTGTTTCAAATTACAAAGAAATGGTTTGGCAGATCGTCGCACAAACGATAGTCCTCATTGAGATACATCAAATGGCTTTTAAATTTCTGAAATCGGTTTAGGCGTTTTTGAGAAAACGTCGTTCAAAGGCCTAATTTTGACAAATGCCAAAAAAACATTAGCAGTTTTTGCAAACTTTGACGAATTTTTAAAGTTAAACGAGTTGTCGTAGGGCCGTAATATTTTAGTATGATCTAGAAGACTATGGTATTACCCGTCAAAAAAATAAAAATTAAAATCGTCGAAAATAATTTTTTTAACACTTTATTACAAGAAAACGACCCGGCCGATCCTTGCCAAAAACTAATAATAAGCAGCACGATTCCCAACCAATGCGTTTCGAACGGTTTTTGATTTTCAAAATCGATTCAAAATTGCAGACTAAAACGTGGACGAAATTTTTTTCACTTTTCTGCTATTTACGAAGAAACGGCTAGACACAAAGTTGATATGTATGTGTGTGTGTGTATGTGTGTGTGTGCGTGTGTGTGTTCGGATACAAATTTTCGTTGACGATTTCGGGAACACGGATGAAGCGATTTGAATAATTCAAAAAACATTCGATTCGTATTGATAAGGAGACGTGCTGATTAGTTTTTAGCGAAGGCAGGTCTAGCCGTTCCGATGATATGAGGCAAAAAGTGACAAAAACAGTAACTCAGTTTTTAAGAGAACGTAGCGTCCGATTTGAATAATTCAAAAAACATTTTACTTGTATTAACAAGATAAAGAACTGATCAAGTTTTCACAAAGGCAGGTCTAGCGGTTTCGGAGATCTAGTAAAAAAAAGTATAAAAAAATGCCATCTGGCGCTCAAAAATGATCATTAGACATATGCACATCAAATTATCAGATATTTTATAGAGATTTTAACAATAAGTATAAATTTCGTTCACATTCCTATAGGTTCCATACCAATGTTTATCCATTAGACGACGACGCGGCGCTTACGCGCTTTATATTTCGTCTCTATGCAGTTAAAGCAGTACGATTGCTTTGAAAAATAGTTCGAAAATCCCAAAATATGTCAAAATAAAGAAAACATTTTTTTTTTTTTTAAAAAAATTTTAAAAAAGTAATTATTTGTCAAATTTACAGTTTCTCAAAAATCTAATTTTTTCGAAGTAAAATTTTTTCAAAAATATTTATCGTTTTTTAAAAAATAATAATTTTTGGTACGGGAAGTTCCAGCAATTTTCCTTAAGGCACGATGCTATGCGCCCCACTAATTTGTTGATTAATTTGCTTTATATAATAACACGAAGGTCACATATAATTTTATACTTTTCATAATTAAAATTTTGTAAAATGGTTAACATTTTAATTAAGAATACATTTTGATTAGGTATAGATTTAAAACATAGCATACATAACATATTAAAATGTAGGTTAACATACGATAATATTAAAGTAGCAAAGAGTATTAAATAATTAGTTCATAGAAAACGCCCTCGGAAATTAAGACGCGACACTGTGATGACAATGTTCTATCATGCGCGGGATGAATGCGCGTTAAAAGCTTCATATAACGGAATCATGTTCCTGTTCAAATTCAAATTGCATCGTCACATTTCATCACGATAATAAGATTAATATATGTTTACAAAATTGAACGCTTCATGATATTCATGTTACACTAATAACTATTAATGAACTATTAATAAGTTGCGAACGTCATGAACCAAACACACTTTCTGTTTATTGGGGCATGTAAATTATCTCTTTGCATTATAAAATCCAAGGTTTGTGATTGTAACATATAAATGAAACTACAGAATAGAGAATAATGACCAGAATATACCCATATTTAAAATTAATCCCTGTTTGCCACCCAAGCTTTCGATACTATACGCAGAGATGTTTTTCTTTTGCTTCAGGAATATCTCAACATTTCGGACATTTGTCAAGAGCCGATTGGCAAATATTAGGGGGCCACCCAAGATTACCTCATCCCCAAACGCAACATTTATCGAGTACTCATCATACTGTGTCAAATTATCATATGAATGGAGGTTTTGGACCTCCATACACAGCATCGCATCAAATGGTTCAGCCACAAGACGTCTTATTTAACAACACGATGACCGCACAAAAACGAAGTATGTAGAATTACAATATTTTTTAATCATATAAAAAAGAATTTAAATTTTAAGGGTTTGTTCTATTTTACGTTCTACTGCCTGCTATATTTTTGCATATTTACTCCTTTAATTGCAATGACATTTTTAGAATAGTGTTATTTTCAGATATTCTGTATAAAAAGCATTCGTTAAAATTATTAATTAAGTATATTGGCAATAAAATTTAAAGAAGAAATCGTATATGATTTCAGAATCTACAGGAAATTTCGATTCAATAAGCAGCAGCAATGCTCAAGCTCACAGTACAACCAGTCCGCTCACATCACCAAGCCCCGAAAAAATGTCCTTTCTCCTAACAACTATGCAGAATAATAATATTGACGAAAGCAATGTCAACAGTTTGAAGAGACCATCGGATAGCGAAAAGCCTAAAAAGCTTTCTAAAGACATAGTGACCGATACCAAAAGTAAATCTAAAGAGAAAACTGTACCAAGGACGCTATCTAATTCTTCTGGTATCGAACGTGACGCTGAAAGTCCTGATGCAGATCTGAGTCATTCAGGAGCATTCCACACATTTCGTTCAAGGGCTACCGGGTCGGGAGATATACAAGATTTTCACGGAGTTTTTCACAATGCTTTGGCCGCACAACTTTTGTTGGGTATGTAATTAATAAAGTGTAAAGTATAATATTAAATAATAACTAATAGTAGTGCATGCTGATATGCCTTAAGGTAAGGTGACCATACGTCCTGGATTGGCCGGGACAATCCCGGATTTGCGCCTTGTGTCCCGAGTTTTTTTTGAAGCAATATTTGTCCCGGATTTTGATTTTTTGTCCCGGATGTCCCGGTTTTTCGAAAATTAATAGTTAAATTAAAAAAAGTTAAGAAAACAAACTAACAGATGCTAATTTTTTTAAATTAATTATGAAGAAAATTGAATAGAACATATAGATCAAAAAATATAAGATATAATATCATAGATAAAGAAGTATTGCATATAATAGTCGAAGTATAAAGCTCTTACTAAAAATACGCAATTATGATAAAAAAGATTTATTAAAAAAACTGTTTTTTTATTGTATCCTTGAATAGCATTTGTAATATAAACGTCTAACACCCCCCCCCCCCCCGACGTCCCGGATATGCATATCTGAAACTTGCCGTCCTGGATTTGACTTAAAAAATATGCTCACCTTACTTAAGGGGGTATTCTTGTGTAGAAATTCAGAAAAATCATTTTTTTGCTTCTTAATGTCTTTGAAGCTTTAAAAAAATACGTTCGAGAAAATATTTTAAAATTTGGAGATACAGCTCTTTGACAAATCCTCGTCTGTTTCCTTGCTTTTGCGAAAATCTAAACACATTTTTCTCAAAACTGTATTTTTAACACGATATCTACTATTTCTCGAGTTCCACTGCGCTGATTCACTTGAAATTTCACAGATTCTTCTTTATAGATATCTCTCTGGCATGTACTAGCCGCATCCCCAAATTTGAATATTTAATATTTTTTAAAAATTCGAGAAACTCGAAAAAGTGGCAAGAAAGTGGTCTTATATTTTCAAACAGTCGACATTTTGTCAGAATTTTTTTTAACTCAAGGGGCACAACTAGTGTAACCGCCTAAAAAAAGGTGATTTTTGGGAATTTATATTAAAAAAAACTACTTTATCAATCATTTCAAAATTTTAGGAATATATTTATACATGTTTTAAGAATACATAGTAAAATTTTTTAAGAAAAAAATCAAATATTTTTTAAGTTATAGTCGATCTCCAACGGCGCAACAAAAAAAGGCCCTTCACTGCTGCAGTGATTCCGGCCTTCTACGTGGATAAAATAAAAAAAAATCTCGTTAAACTAGATAATATTGTCTGTAAAATGAACTACGATAAAGAAAAAAAAACAAAAATTGACAAAATAACGGCGCTTTTTAAAAAAAAGTCGAATTTTACCCAAAATTTTGGTCGTTTTTGGACTGCCAAAATTCTATTTTTGATCCGATCAAAAAATCTATAGTTCATTTAACGGAGAACTATATATAGAACATGTGAAAAAAAATTGATAGTGATCGGATCATTTGTTTTTGAGTAATCGCTGCAGCAAATTCGAAAAATGCTGTTTCGAGAAAAACGCGTTTAAAGATAAAATGATCGTTATACTATATACTAGATATATACTCATTAAATGGCTGTAACTCAAAAACTAAGATATCGATTTAAAATTTTGGTATGTTATTTTTAAAGGTATAACCTATATATGGAAAAATTGAAAATTCGATTTTTTGAAAATTTCACACTAGTTGTGCCCCTTAATACTAGTATATGCCATAGCGATATCATTTTAGATTAATAATCTTATTTTTTTCATTTCGGATTATTAGGAGGGTTGCAATCGTGGACTCGGACTCATGCCAATTTTTTGTAAACCCTCAATTCAACAACTGCTGATTTTTTAAAATGTTAACATATTTTTTACTTTTTTTCTGTACTCTTGTAACTTTGTTAAATAAATTAAAAAAAATATAGTTAATTTATTGCCTTTTTACCATGATGACCTAAATTGACCTAAATTCATGCTTCTACACTAGAATATTCCCTTAAAGCTATTCGAAGAAACTTTCCATTCTTTATATATATGTATAAAGTATGGTGAGCCAAAATTTTATATTTTGTCGATATTTTCTCAAAAAATATCTGCATAGATTATGTATATTTAAAATTTTCTATTATTTGTATGTATGCAAATGAGAGCCAAAATTTTATCTATAGTCGATAGATATTTTTTCAAATAACGGCTGTACTGATTTTACAAAATTTAAAGCCAAACAAATTCAATAAGAACCCGCATTGATTATTTTACTAGACGGTAAAAGATGATACGAAGTTTGTGATAATTCCCCAAACTTTCAAAAGCAATTAATTGAGACCCCCATATTATGATCTATTTCACAGGAGGTCCCGCAGCGCACAACCAATGGCTATATTCTCAACTATATGCACAGCACCAGCATTTGCACAGCCTGCATCAGCTGCAGCAGTACGAGCACCAGCAATGGCCGCCATGGTTGCAGTTACAATTTGCTCAACGACACCTTGCACTCAACCCACTCCCGGCACATCCATTATTAGTGCCACACGTTGACCAACCTAAGAGCTCGCCCCAATGGAAAGCGAGGATGACATCAACAACCACAGCAAAAAATGCAGAGACGACGATGTCACTTCTACTAGGAAATCTCCAACGCCGCCACCGGCTGGGGTCAATACCGATTCAGACACAAATGCTGATAAGAAAAATGGGGATGTTTGGAGACCGTATTGAAGCCAGGTGCTTTCATTTTTATAATTGTTCAAAAATGATATTTTTGAGTTTAATCTATATGTTATATGTAAATACGATATTGAGAATAGCATGAGAAACGTATTATTTTTTGTCATGCAATTCTTTTCATAATTAATTAATTAATGTTTTAAGTAGGTACATATAATTCGTTAAAAATATATAATCTGAAAATAATATTTAAAAGTAGCGTTTTTCAGATCATGGAGCTCAATTTGAAATCATTAATTATATACTAAACAATGTGATTTAAATTTAAGATATTACTGTAGTTTTTAGACTAGAATCTAATATAACGAAAAATATACTAAATTAAAATAATTAATATAATAATTATTCGACGTAATTTGGTTAATCACTATAAATGTCTTAATTTATAATAATAATCTTACTAATTATCAACAATTGCAAAGATTATATAAAACTATGTGTAAAGATCAGCAAAGCTGATTAAATCTATTGACGCCAACAAACAATTTTGAACAATCACTTATTCCAAATTTTATTTGCACTTATGTATGATTTTCGAGCACTTTAAAAAATGTCTCTGTTTTCTTATAGAGAAAGTAGCAAAAATATTCTGGCAAGGTTTTTACTGAAAATGCTATTTGCAACTAGACGTAAGGGGAAGTCTCCTAGTGGCGGACACCTAAGGTTATTTATAAATAAATCAAAAAATATTTTACGAAATGGTCATTAAATTATGACTTATGTTAGATAACAAAGTTATAAATCAAACTAAATTAACAAAAACGCAATCTTTGCTAAACAATAATTAATACTATCAATCAAACTTTGGTAACAAAAAATATAATTTTATGAAGTGGCATTTAGTAACGGACATTTCAAAATAACCAACATTGAACACGTATGTAGCCATCTCCACACTCTGGAATGTCTTCACATTTGTGTTTGACGAATAAAAAATCACTAATTATCCACCCTTTTCGCTGGGCCACACCGATGCTCTCAGCTGGAGCATTCATCATAAGATTTTCATTCTTTGACTAGAAAATACGAAAAATGGGGGTATGTAGTGACCGTTAGCACTCATACAGAACAAAATTAAATAATTAGAATAAATTACGTCAATTCTCACAAGAAATATAAATATGTTTACTTCCGGCGCTAAGGGACGACTTAGTGTCTGGTGCTAAGGGACAGACAATTTCGTTCATTTGGTGGTACCTACTAAAATTGTTTAAAATATCTAATAATTATTCTACCATTTTACGAATAACAATCAAGTACTACTTTTATTTTTGAATGCCACTGAAATATAAATACATAAATACGCTAGAATTACTTCATTGATATTTAGGTGACGCCGGGTTTTTGCCGTGTGCGTCACAAGTGAGCCTTGGCGCGTGATCCTGCACCTGTGTGCCCCCCGCACCCCTTTCAGTTGTATTTCGAAATAAAAAGATTTATACTCGCTTAAATAATACGTGTTAAATAGAGTGTACGGCTTTAGGTGCCGTCCGGCGTTACGGGACTTCCCCCTACTAATAATTAGCTAACTCATAAAACCTTAAAAGTAAAAACTTATATCATTCTTATTTTTAGTACTGTATATATTATCGTTTTCTGGTTTGTTTTCGAATATGAAAATTCTTGAAACCAATATCGATATTGTTAGCAATTCGCTAAATAAACAATTTAAGTGTTATTAGAATAGAATTCATATCAAATAGTTTCAGAAAATTATAGTCAAGTCTAGTATTTCAATGATATTTAAATTCGACAAACTAATAATGAATTATTAAATATTCTCCAATATATTACAATCTTTTGAATATTGAGAAAAAATATAGTTTGATGTTTCGAAAATTTATACACAAAGTTGTGCATAAGTCGACAACGAATTCATAATATTTTGTTTAACAGTCGAAAAGAGCTATCTAAATATGTTGATATTTTTTTTCGCTTTGGTTGTTTGGGAATTCCGTTATAAATAATAAATTGCTTCATTTGATTTATTTATTACAATTTTTCGATAAATTCGATCAGTTCGACAAGTTTCTAAATTTATTTTGAAAATTTGTCGACGAATTTGAATTAACATAAAAAAAATCTCAAATCATCCCTTGTATACGGGGTGTCTCAACTGCATATGTAATTATTCCAAATATTTACCTTGCCATTGCGCAGTATCACTAAATCATAATATGATATAATATATTCATATGTAAATCTAGTCATATATATTAAGTTCTACGTGCAGAAATTAGTACTAATCGGAAAATTGAAATAATGTTAGATGTAACCAGTAAGTAAAATTATAACAGAAATGTTATTGAAGTTTTCCTTTAAAGTAGATAT